TGTCCTGCTTCTAGTGAGCCGCCTCCAACTTTTCCAGGCCACCAATCAGGGCCCATCTGAAGCCACTCCTTGTTTCCACTCCAAAGCTTTCCCACCCCTCTGCCAGCCTCGGAGTCTGCCAAGCACAAGTGATGGTGGGCCACTTCCTTGCTATGCGAGGCTCTAATAAATAGCCTTTACCTTTCTTATTAGGTTGGTCTTCATGTATGCCCACACTGGACGCTGGGGATACAGAGTTGAGCAAACACAGACCCTGAACCTGCCATCGTGGCTCTTACTGTCTAGGGCAGAGACACTACTCAGCAGTCACAGCAAGGGGGACCATGCAGCTGTGATTTGGTACAAGAGAGGAGCACGGAGGTTCAACCACCTGTGAAGTGGGGGTCTGACCCAGTCTGGGAGTCAGGAAAGGCTTCCTGGAAGAAGGGGTGCCTGAGGAGGGATGTAAAGGCTGCGTGCGAGACTCCTAAGGCAAGAGGAAGGAGAAGAGTGTTCCAGGCAAAGGAAACAGTACAAGGGGCCATCGCTGGAGGAAGCGGGGGAGGATGGTGTGAGATGAGGCTGGAGAAGCCCACACGTCACGCCGGGCCTCCAAGGCCACGGGGAGGACTTTTGTCTTTAATCTAGGAATAAGTGGAAGCCAGTGTCGAACATGGGGTTGAGGGTGGGAGGAGTGGGGAGCCATATTCTTGGAGTTAGGCTTGAACTGTGTCCCCCAAAAGATATACTCAAGCCTTAACTCCTAGTATCTCAAAATGTGTCCATATCTGGAAATAGGGTTATTGCAAATCTAATTAGTTAAGATGAGGTCGTACTGGAGTAGGGCGAATACTTAATCCAATATGACTGGTGTCCTTATTAGAAGAAGACACGAAAGGAATGAACTTGGCCATGCGACGACAAAGTCAGAGAATGGAGGGATGCAGCTACGAGCCAAGGAACACCAAGGATTGCGGGCGAGCATCAGAGCTAGAAGAGGGAAGGGAGGACTCTCCCCCTAGAGCCCTCAGAGGGAGCCTTGAAACACCTCGATTTCAGGCTTCTGGCCTCCAAAACTTGAGACAATAGATTTCTGTTGTTTTCAGCCACTCAATCTGTGGTACTTTGTTATGGCAGCTCTCGGAAACTAACACACTTGGGTTTTATTCATTTATCTATCTATCTATCTATCTATCTATCTATCTATCTATCTATCTATCTATCTATCTATTTTTAGGTAAGGCAACCCTTGGTTGACCTCACAGATTGCAAGGACCTTGTCAGCTTACAATCCCTCATTCATTTTTTTATTTTTTACGCCTACAGCACCTGGTCTTCCTAGGTGGTCTCCCATCCCAAGTACTAACCAGGCCCGACGCTGCTTAGCTTCCGAAATCAGACAGGATCGGGCTTATTCAGGGTGGCACGGCCATAGCACACTTGGGTTTTAAAAAGAGCCACCCAGCTAGGTTGGAGGGGAGTCCATGTGGATGAGGGTTGGCCGGTAGGAATGCACTAGTTCTTCCCAAAAGAGATGACGGTGGCTTGGGCTAGTGGTGGTGACAGCGGGGCGTGGAGAGAAGATGAAGCTGAGAAATGTTTAGGAGGTCACATCTATTGAGAAAGTATGGAAGTGGCATATACGTTGAAAAGTGGGCCTCAGACATGTGCAAGAGATTTGAACACGGCAGCCCAGGTGGGCACAGGCAGTGATGACACCAGAGACAAGCCAGTGAGTCAGGAGATGGGTCAGGCCAGCATAGGTGGAGAGATGTCACAGAGCTACGTGATCGCCAGGTGATGAGTGTGGGGGCTCCGGGAGGAGGAAGTCTGTGGATTAAGAAGTCCTCTGGAGGTTTGGATTGGAACAGGTGATTGACTGGGAACAGCATCGAACACCTGGGAGTCCAGGGCCACTGGCAGTAGCAAAGCCCAAAAGCACAGTCGGTCTTCCCCCACCGCAGACATTGCTAGCTGATCCCAGTGTCCACTCCGTCCACTCCGGGAAGCCCCTACCAATCGAGCGGAATGGATCCACAGAATGAAATCCTGCAATCTCAGGACATGGGTGGGATTTAACAGGTGACTCTGTGAACTTCTGGACGTTTGTACATCTGCAGTTGGTCCCTTGATCTTTAGAAGAATGGTTGGAAGGTTACCAGCAGACACTTGCATTACTCCTATTTCCTACAAGAGGAGATGGGTCTGGAGTCTCACGCCGGTAAAAGACAGAGCTGGGCTCTAGTTAAAACCTTCTACTTCCAACTCTTCCTTCTACTCCTCCTTGGGAGTACTTGTGAATTTATTGTGGTAAAATACACATAACATAAAAATTACCATCTTAAGCATGTTTAAGTGTACCATTCAGTGTCACTAAGTACAGTCAGACTGTTGTACAACCAGTCACCATCATCCATCTCCAGAACTTTTTATCTTCCCCAAACTGAAACTCTGTCCCGATTAAACCCTGACTCCCCATCCCCTTCCCTCAGCCCCTGGCACCCACCCTTCTACTTCCTAGCTCTGTGAATTAGTCTACTCTAAGTGCCTCATATTAGTGGAATCGCACGTTATTTACCCTTTTGCGTGAATCAACATTTTCACCGCAGATTGCAATAGTGGAATTCAAGTCATCATCTTAGCTGCCTTGTTGATTCAGATGACATGTTTACTGTGTTTCTGTTGTCTTTATTTTCTATCAGAAAAATGGCATAAAAATCTAGAGTGTCTTGGTTTAACCCATATGCTATTTGCATTTAAGTGGGCAGATTTTTAAAAAAAAAATTTTTTTTTTTATCTCTATGGACAATTGGAAACCCTTCCACAAAAAGAAAGGACTCAGTTTCTATGAGAATGTAATGTCAGAAACCTAACTCCAAACTCTTGAGACATTTTCAGAAACTGTCTTTTATGAGCTGGGCAAGTTGATGCTGGCTGGTAATCCCATTTGCAAGTTCTTTTTACTGTTTTTATGTATCCACTCATTGGATAATTACTGAGCCCTTAATTAGGTCAGGCACCATGCTAGGAATTGGGGCACATAATGTGGGAAGACAGGCTGGGGCTGGTTTGGGGTTCAGTAATTTAAGAAATGCGGTAGGTGTTGCTGAGACAAACTTTGCGTTGATGACATTAAAGTACAAGCCAAGGTAGAGGTAGGGGACTATATTTGGGGCAAACTGAAGATGACTGTCCAGACTGTATCACCTAGGGAAGACTCTGAGGCCCCTCTAGAGCTCCTGAATTGTCTACTTCAAAGCCACTGAATATTTCTGATTGCAACATGGGATTAGTCTTTGACTTTTAAAAACTTGAATTTGGCATTTAAAAAAAAAAAAAAAGGAAACTGACATATGCTACATGTGGATGAACCTTGAGGAAATTATGCTAGGTGAAATATACCATTCACAAGAGGACAAAAAACTGCGTGACTCCATTTATAAGAGATATCTAATGCAGTCAGCTCAAAGAGACAGACAGTGGTCGCCAGTGGCTTGGTGGAGGGAGAACGGGGCGTTCTTATTCAATGGGTATGGCGTTCAGTTTTGCAAGGTGAAAAAGTTCTAGAGAGCTGTCGTGGAACTCTGTGCATATAGCGGATGCTACTATACTGTAGTATACTTCAAAATGGCCAAGATTGTAAATTTTGTTATGTGTTTTTAACCACCGTTTTAAAAAATAGAGTCTAGCACAGCCCTGGGCATACAGGGGACTCAGCAAATGTCTGCTCACAGCAGAAACACATCTTGAGGTCTCCAGTCCCGGCCTCATATGTTTTCTGCAAATTTTAGCTACGGGATTGGGAATCGTTGGTTCTATGTCCCCTTGTTGTCTTTTTAGTGTGTGCAACTTAAGATATAGCTGGAAAATATCAAAGTCAAGGCTCCTTTGGAAAGTCATCTACCCAGTGCCGTCGTTTGCTGGACAAGTCCTGTGTGTCCATCTGACACAATGACTTTGAGTCTCAACTCTGGACTGAGGTCAGCCTCACGTATCCACAGTTTCAGAGGGTGACAATAGACCTGCCTCAAGTGGCGGCCACTAACATCTGGGGTGCCCTTTCCAGTTTACGGAGCACCCTCATACGTGTTTGCCTCGTTTCGGCCACTGTCTCCTCCTTACCAGTTCCCTAGTATCTTCTCTCTGCTTCGCCAGAGGGGTTCACTTGCAGAACTGAAACCTTAGTTAAGGTTGGTTGAGGTTTGTTTTTAAAAATTGGCTGTTCCTACCCACATTCCCTTGAGATATAAATAGAAAAAAAAAAAAAAGGTTTCATTGGTGAGGCAAGACATTTGAGCTATGTCCACTTGATCCTTGAAAAGGAAATCTAAGAGGTTCTTACTATCACTTTTTCGATCCTATATAAGGTAGGTCAGTAAGGCAGCAAAACCACATCCGTTTTTTTGCTCCTTCAACTTTTTCCTGATTCTTCTTGGGGAAAAATCTAAAACGGTGAGTAGCTGGTGGACCTACCAGACCCCAGACTCTTCTTTTCTGCATGCATTCGTATTAGGCTGGCACATGCTGTGCTCAGATTTCTCTTTTTCCATGGAGTTGACACCTGGAAGGATTTTGATCTCTGGGAGATGGGCTTTTCATGTCTCTGATTCCCATCCTTCAGGACAAAAGGCATCTCTCCCACAGGTCTCCATGCAGCCCAAGCTCTATTCTTTCCCACGTGGAATTTGCAACATTGTTTCTTTGGCTGATATATGAGAATGCTATGGCAATTGTAACGTGGTTTACTTCTGAATGGTTTGTAGGTGCTTAAATATGTGACCAATTAGGTAATTATAATTCTAAATAAGAAAACAGAATCAAATCGTTCTGTAGGTTGTACTTTTTATTTCATCTTTGGGGTATATTCAGGAGAGGGCATCGAGACAAAGGGGGGGTGGGATCTTTTCAGTATTGGGTTTTTATTTGGATATTCTGTCCAGTCAATGAAGACCACACTTATCAAATTTTTAAAAATTATCAACAAATATACAGTTTCAGCGGGACAAAGAGAGTGGACTCCTCCCAGACGTGCATGTTCCAACTTGCCATTTACCAAATGTCATTTGTCCTGCGAATAGGTGGAGAATGAGCATCACAGACGTCCTTAGTGCTGATGACATTGCAGCAGCCCTGCAGGAGTGCCAAGGTAAAGGGCACATGAGGCAGGGGTGGGTTTTTCTCATGTGTTCGTACTTCCAGCAAAGCCACAAAAATTGAAATGTGAACTTTGCTGAAAATTCATGGGATCAAGGAATAAAACTGTTATTAATTAACTAAAATTACAGGCATATGAGATCTGAGCATATGATTCCATTTCTGCGAGGCGAAAGAAACGACGTGAAAAAAGAAATCAGTGGAAGCCCCGTAGCCCGTCTGAGTCCCGTGACCGCACTTCCCCTCACCAGTTAGACCAGTGATGCTGCAGTCTTAGATACAGAGCCTGTACAATTGGCAGGGGAGGCGCAGAGGAGCGGAGGAGGGAGAAGGGGAGCTGGGCAAGTCGAGTGGGAAGGGAAAGCTGAGGAAGGGTGTGGGGATAGGAGATGACACGCGAAGCCATCCTGTCTTGGCTTTCACGGTCCTCTTTATCTTTAAAAACAAATTTTTTTTAAATAGAGCATAACTGTAGCTCAATGATATTATGAAAAGTATTTCCAATAAACTATGTTTTCAGCACCTTGGCCCAAATATGGAATGTGACCCAATGAGCATCAGGATAACCCATTCTCTGTTTCAGACCCAGATACTTTTGAACCCCAAAAATTCTTCCAGACATCCGGCCTCTCCAAGATGTCGGCCAGTCAGGTGAAGGATGTTTTTCGGTTCATAGACAACGACCAGAGTGGATATCTGGATGAAGAAGAGCTTAAGTAAGCTTTATCCTAAGTGTGTCTCGCACTCCGACCTTGCTAGTGGGCTGGGGTGCAGTAGAGGCCAGTTTGCTCAGTATTTTTTCAATAGCCAGCCTTGATGCTGGTAATTTGGCAGAGCCCCAGGAAAGGGAAGAATACAAGTCAGCTGGCCACACTCAGATCCATGCGAAGCACTAACCATGAGCACCTAAGACTACAGGTGCAAAAATTCAACAATTTTAGGGCTTTTCTTTGGCAAATGGACTTACCGACAAAACTATGAAATATACTTTCAAACACGAAATGCCCACCATTAGTTTCTACAGTGAAGGAAACCTTTGCTGACTAAGACCTTGACTGATTATTGCAATTGCTGGGAACACAATTTGCTTCAAGAGAAAAAAGAAAGGGTAGGTGAGGAAAAGCATGGTCTTTCAGAAATTTCCCTCGATCTTGACTGTCCTGTAGGTTTTTCCTCCAGAAGTTTGAGAGTGGTGCTAGAGAACTCACCGAGTCAGAAACCAAGTCTCTGATGGCGGCTGCGGATAATGATGGAGACGGAAAAATTGGGGCTGATGGTATGTCCGCACCTGTACGCAGCACAAAAGACGAGCTCAGGGGGTATCCGGGGGTGTGAGAGCAGAAAGATGTGGGTTAAAATCCCCATTTATTAACCTCGCTGAGCCTCAGTGTTCCCATCTATAAAATGGGACAAAAGTGGTGGTACAGATGCTATGTGTAAAGATTTGGGCATAATACCTAGGGATGTGCCACAGGAGCTGGTCCAGCCGGTCACTGTCTGTGAACCAGCAAATGTCCCTCACCTAACTAAGGGACAAGCTAGTAATCTGGTCAATTACTTGCAAGACAGCCTCATGCTCTCTGAAAACAGCGTAAGGCATTCTTGCCATGGTATCTGAGCCCCTTGAGGACTGACATCCTCAAGCGTGTCTCACACTAAAATCTATTGACTTGAGCAGGAAAGCCTCTTAGTTTTCAAGGGTTTAAACGAATATGTTTTATTGGATGTTTGCTCACCAACTGGACAACATTAGACAGGGAAAACTTAAATCAATTCAACTCCATTATGGAGTCTTCCTTGTGCAGAGCCCAATATTTAAATTTTAGCATAATTGCATGGCCGTAGAATTATTTTCATCTGATTTTGTCATGTGGCTTACATGCTTTTTAGCTGCTTTGTACATGCCAACTCAGGAGCACTTATGCATGGTCCTTTCGGTGGAGTTAATTTGAAATTAAAAACTGCTACTTTAGATCCTTATTTTAAAGACCTAATCAAAATGATACCACTGTAACTTACTACATGGGAGTTAATACAGCTTCTATAAATAGCTCAGAAAAATAGGTAAGGAAAGATTGATTTGTTTAAACCTGACTATGGAAGACAAACAGGCAAAGCTTGCTACTAAATATAAAGTAAACCCCAATTTTTCAATTCCCATCTGTAGCATCCACATAGTATTATTATTGTTGTCTTTTAGTAATACAAACTTTAGGGGTAAGGATTGGGGTCCAATAGGGAAAAGTTAGTTCGAAGTCTTACCCTGTTAAACGTTACTAAAAATGCAAAACGTAGCTATAGACTTGAAGAAGGAAACCTCCCATTTCTGTCTTAAATTAAGAAGCCAAACGGTTGAAAGGTCACAGATTATGATCAGCCATTGCACCAAGTTCATGGGTTGCCAGGCAGAAATGGCTGGGTTGACACATTCTCACACGAGAGGTGTAACTGCAGAGCTAAAGGTGTTTGTTGGATTACGCAGGGAGATGAAGCGCTGTAGACCATCTGGACTTGCAGTGAGTGTCACTCACATTTTTCTTCACTTCGTGCCCTGGGAGGGGGCCATACCCATCATCTCACAATCTGCCTCGTTTCCTTTCCTCTTCAGAACTCTCACTGGCCGTAGGGTGTCTGTAAAGTACCGTAAAGCATCTCCACTGACCCCGTTCTCACCTCTTCTGTTCCAGAATTCCAGGAAATGGTACATTCTTAAAGACCATGGGCTATGACATAGACACGATCAGCTGGAAGGCCTCCAGAGCCCCAGGAACGGGAAACCCCACTTCCTCCTCCCCCTAATTTATTTATTAATTTCCCCCTGAAACGTTTCTGTGACTTGCTCATTGTTTTAGTGAGGTAATAAGACAGTCATTCAATACTTTCTGGTGGTGGGTATGCCCCAGTGACTCTCATTAGGCCCTCAGCAGACAATGCCTTTAAAAATTATCCAATAAAGACACATTTCTCATCATCTGTTAATGTGTGGGTGTGGTCTTTTTTTTTTTTTTTCTCAGCAAGGGCAATGGATGAAAGCAATTTGGGGACTTTCAGAAAGATGTCTGGTCCTATCAAGCATTAAGCAAGCAACGTGCATGAGCTAACAGGAAAATAGTCGGGAAAAAAGTCCCAAAGAAGTGGCATTGTCAGGCTAGGATTTTCACAGGGATTTATCCGAGTCTGAAGTTAACAGGAAACGATTTTAGCCAGAATAGAATCACTCCCGCTTATGCGTTTTCTGCTACCAGGTGTTAGATTTCCTTAAGAGATTTAAGTAAAGGCCAATAGTACAAGACAGCAAGGGCGTGAGGCTACAGTGCACTGTGACACACAGACCGTTTTCAAGCTTTTTTTCCCTCTCTTAGAAAAACAAGCTATCAGAGGCTCTGTCTGCTCTGACCCAGCCCCCTGCCCCCGCCCTCTCCCCTTTCTCCACCACTATTTTCCTGGCTCTTATTCGATACCACCGAGCTAATTACACTGAGACTTGTCTTAACATCTGAGGCGAGCCTCAAGCCTGGGGGTCCTGTTACAGGGTTTTCGTGAGGGTGCATTGATCCCAAGCCAGGAAATTCTCATTAGGCTGACTTCCAGGTGGCAGGTAAAAGGTGTTCATGGCTGACCACGGGGGTTCTGAGGACTCCTGGGAGGAACTGAGGCATTTTCCTGAGTGCTCAATCAAAAACTCACACTTTTTACCCCAACGCGCAAGCCCACAAGGCGCTGGGCTCTCCTGATTCCTGCCATCACGCGAGGTCACCTAGCAACTTTGAACTCTTGGTTTTTGAAGGGTCACATTAGAGTAGCTTTTCAAAGTGTGAAGCACAGACTAGAAGGGGGCCTCAAGGTGACTTCGGTGGGAAGGAATCAACATTTTTTATTTTAATAACTGTGTGTTTGATGTGTCAGGAAAAAATGAAGCACAAACACGTGATTTCAGTATCATTGCTTTAGAATGAAACTAAAGGGAGTATTAGACATTTGAAAGTGTAGCAATTTGAAGAAGATAAGTAGTAATATTCGAGATGGTATTAGGAGGGACAAAACCACATAGGTAGTTTTCAAATGAGTCAAAATGGGGAAATAGAGCTTGAAAATGAAGGACTCTCTGTGGAGGGCCAAAGACTGGAACTGTGTCACTTTGTGGCGGTCTCGCTTGTCCCTTCTCCCTGCACGTGCGCGCCCTACCATCCTCACCCCCCAGACTTCCGGCAGGAGTCACGCTAGTTCCTTCCCAATGCTAGCTCCCCTTGGTGTGTGGAAATGTCGCCCAGACGCACTTGCGACTCCCCCGAGGTGCAGGCAGCAAGAGCGCCTTCCTGGCCACTGCCGGCCTGGACTCTTCAAGCAACCCACGTGCTGCCTTCACCCCACCACGCGTGGATACGCTGATCCTGCCGTTATTTTCATTCTGCCCCTTTGTCCTCCCCAGCAAGGGAGCCCTCTATAACTCCGCGACCTGGCCCTCTTTCCATGGGGTTCTGGCCACCACATGCCTTGGAGAAACAATATGAATGATGATGCTTTAAAAATAATGGTCGTGCGTTTACGGTCATGCCACCCTGAACGTGCCCGATCCCGTCTGATCTTGGAAGCTGAGCAGGGTCGGGTCTGGTTAGTACTTGGATGGGAGACTCCCTAGAAAGATCAGGTGTTGTAGGCATAAAATAAATAAATAAATAAAAATAATGGTCGCGAGCTTTTAACTGACTAAGCCATCCAACACCCATTGGAGCAGCAAAGGCAACCTCGCCCTAAACGAGGCAAAGATCGTCGGTTTCTCTTCTCTGTCCCTCAGGAGGGCTTCCGTACAGGAATAATGACTGGCAGGGTTACATGGAGGACCCAGGGGACACCGTATCATTGGGTCATCCTGACTGTTTTAGGGAAAACGCTCAGAGGACAGATGCATACAGAGGATAAATTGCCACAAATTTTCTATAGATAGAATGATGGTCGGTTATTCATGAATTTTGTTCATTCTACTGTTTCAAAAGTATAATTCAAATTATTTTTTGCCCATTTCAAATATAGCAATTTTTAATCCTCCCAACCCAGTTTTAGGAACTCAGTTTCAGAGTCTCTGTCAACAGGTAAGAAGTAGCCATGAAAAGGAGTATCTCTCTGTATTTAACACTCAAAAAGCATCAGGTGGTATGCTTAAATGAAACAATAATCTTGCTTTCACTCACATCGATTTTTAATTATGTTGTAAGGATTTGCGTGTTTGTGGTGCTGTGCGGGGAGTATTCCACTTCTGAAAGCAGGTAACGAAAGCTCTGGGCATTGTGTGATTACATTTGTTAGTTAGCACTGGGTTTTGGGGGGTTATTTTTCTAAGTTTAAATATTGCAAAAACATTAGCATTTCCAAATCTTTGGCGAAGTACGACTTGAAAAAACAAATGTTTTCAAAAACTACTTGAGTTTAGTCATTATATAAATTTCATACCAAGCAAGAAATTCATTTTTAAATGGGTCCTATTCAACGTGTACCTCTCAGGAAAAAAGAGTAAACGGATATATAGCAAAATATAACAGTCGTTATCTCCAGCTGGTAAGTTTATAGAACAATAAGATAAGACTGAAGCCTTTCTAAAAGCAACGCAGTGACCACAGGAAATTAAAAACACTGATGTAGAATTTACGCAGTTATTGTCATGAAGCCAAGGAACGATAAATTCTGATTTTAAAAAACTTTCATACAAAGGATGTACCCACACTCAAATTAATGAAAACCCTGCGTACTACTCTGCTCCTGAAATTTCTACTCACATTTTGGACTCGACTGTAATTTTATATACTGAGCAAAAATTTTAAATATAACATAACCAGTCGAATCAAAGCTAGAAAACCCCTAAGTGAAATTCCAACAATCCAGAAAAGGAACTGACAAGCATCTAAACAACTTTATTTTCCTGGTTATTTTCTCTGTTTACCTAATTTGCAGAGCATCACCCACCTGTTCCCAGCAGTGAGATGATGTAGTCTGACTTTAAAATGAGGGCCTAGATGGCATCATGGGTGACAGAGCTGAAAACCCTGGTGTCTGTTATTTTGCCTAATCGCTTATAAAATAGGGAGCAACCGTGACTTTAATTTAAACTATTTTTACTTTCTCCGCATTTCAGCTCATAGTTTGGTTGAGAGCTTTATAATTTAATGGAATATGATCTCAAAGCCAGCTTCATGAATGTGTTAAGTGTTGAAAGTTAAAAGGATGATTAAAATACTTCAAATTTTATTTGGTATTTTGCTTCAGCATAGCACATTATGAAATATTTATATGATTCATTTGAATGTATAGGTTTTCAGTTCTTTCCAGCTCAATAAAAACTGTAGCAAAACAGTGAAAATTTCTGAAACACTTGTCTAGTTGTTCAGGTTTACAAGCTCCATAGTTAATTCTGTGAAATGACTGCCGTTTAATTTTGTGTAACGAGTACTCAGGAATCCAATTTCAAGCAAAAACCTATCTTATATCTCTTGTGCTAACGTTAAGGGATGGTATTACCTTGCAAACACTCAAGAAGACAGATGAAATTGAATCACCAGGATCGTTTCCACCGGGCCTGTTAATTTATTCACTGGAAAGACTATTCATTTACATAATGTTTTAACTGCTTTCAAAAAGTCACTTTTTTGGTAGGGAGTGGATTTTGACGTCATTTTCACAGGCCTTCTACAACAAATATACATGGATTCACACCTTATTTTTAAATTATAAAGTATTTGAGAATACACAGTGACATAAACACCTGCGTACCTATCACCTCGCTTTATCGAATCTTGGCATGAACTGTCTCGAGGCTTAGGAATATGTCGACCTGCTTAGGCTGTAAGTACTCAGTTAGCGTGGGCCACAGGAACCATTTTGCCTGAGATCTGGAGGGTGGAGATGAAGCAGCAGCCACAGTGTGAATGTTCTGGAGGTCGGTGTGAGGTGGTCACTTACCTGCTGGCTCCCCTCCTCGGTGTGGGGTCCTCCTTCAGTTCCCAGTTCCAGGTGTGTTTCCTTCTGTGACAGAGGACACCAGCTTTACTTGGAGACCCCCCATTATCAGAATAGGGGCAGCGGGAGACTGACATGAATTCCAGTCTGTCCTCATGGGTTCCAGCTTGTCCTTCACTATCCTGTTTACATCCACCTTCCCTTCCTGCCTGCCTGCTCTGCAGACTTCAAGCTTCAGCATTGGATGAAGGCAACAGCCTTATAGAGACTGTTGAACTACCTCTCACAAGTGCACACCTGTAATATATACAGATATATGTGACTACATATTAATGGTTAAATTATACAATACCTATAATTAACATCTAAAAATTACATTATATGTAATGTACACATATATGGATATATTTTTTCTAGTGGCTCTTGTTCTCCAACTGAACACTGACTTACAGAACTTCCTTCGGATTTTTCATTTTTTAAGAAAAAGAATCGTATGTTTTGTAGTTTTTGAAGATCCTTTACAGGTGACCCTAGCAGGAGATGGAGATCAAGGACAATTTTAATTGCGGGAGAGAGCGATACCCTTGGGATGCGGGTCACCTCTGAATGAAAGAGTCTGAGCTCTAGATCGACAGAGAAGAGATTGACTACTTGATTCACAGGCCTGTTATTTCTGCTAACACAGTGAGATGGAGAGGTCCTTTGTACAGATGGCCTCAGAAGTGTTTATCACACTCACACCTCTACCCAGCAGCTTCTTCTTGGAGCTCAGTCCTGAGCTGAGTACAGGGAGGAAAGAACTCGCTAGAACGTCGGGTTGGCCTGTGACATAGCTGTGCAGGCATGCAGCAGACAGAGCTCTGAAAGAGGAAAGCCGACCTCTAAAGTCTGTTTCTCCACCCCCCTCAACCCGTTCCAAACCTCCATAACTTGTCCACTGACACATACATACTGTGTCCTTTGAGGCAGGTGCTGTGCTAGACAATGGGAGCATCGATGACTCCAATTGTCCTGTCATTCGGATGCTCGCTTTTCTTGTTAGCAGGAAGACAGATAAAGGTGAGGACGTGTCCGGAAAGTCTGTACTCTTTTACTAACTTATCCCTTTTTTCCCTCACCCCCTCCCTCGAGCCCCTAATGACCACTATTTTACTGTTTCTATGAGTTTGATTTTTTTTTTTTTAAAGATTCCACATTAGGTATTTGTCTTTCTTTGTCTGGCTTATTTCACTCAGCAGAATGCCAGGTTCATCCATGTTGTCGCAAAACAGGATTTCTTTCTTTCTCATGGCTGAATAATATTCTACGCATACATACATACATTTTGTTTATTCATTCATCTGTTGATGGACCCCTTAGGTTGTTTCTATACCTTGGCTATTGTGAATAATGCTTCAGTGAACACGGGAGCACAGATACCTCTTCTAGATAATGATTTTAGTTCCTTTATATATATAACCAGAAGTGGAATTGCTGGATCGCGTGGTAGTTCTCCTTTTAATTTTTTGAGGAACCTCCATACTATTTTTCATAGCAGCTGCACCGATTTACATTCCCACCAACAGTACATTAGAATTCTCTTTTCTCCACATCCTGGCCAGCATTTGTTATCTCTCGTCTTTTTGAAAATAGACCTAAAAGGTGTGAGGTGATATCTCATTGTGGTTTTAATTTGCATTTCCCTGATGAGTAGTGATGTTGAGTATCTTTTCATGCACCTGTTGGCCACTCACATATGTTCTTTAGAAAAATGTCTACTCTGATCCTTTATACGTTTTTTAATTATTGGGTTATTCGGGGGTTTTTTCCTATCGTTTGTATGAGTTCCTTGATATTTTGGATATTAACCCCTTTTACCAGATGTGTGGCTTGCAAATATTTTCTATTCCATAGGTTGACATTTCATTTTGTTGATTGTTTCCTTTGCTGTGCAGAAGCTTTTTAGTTTATTTTTTTATTTTGTTGTTTTCGCTTTTGGTATCTAATCCAAAAAAATCATTGCCAAGACCAATGTCAAAGAGCTCACCCCATTTTCTTCTAGGAGTTTTATGGTTTCAGCTTTTATGTTCAAGTCTTTAATCTATTTTGAGTTGATTTTTGCATAGGGTACAAATAGAAATCCAGTTTCATTCTTGTGTATGTGGCCATCCAGATTTCCCAACACCACTTACTGGAGAGAATATCCTTTCCCCATTGTATATTCTTGGCTCCTTCGTCATAAATTAATTGACCATATGTGCATGGGTTTATTTCTGGGCTCTCTATTCTGTTCCAATGATCTGTGTGTCTGTTTTTATGCCAGTGCCATACTGTTGGAATTACCATAGCTTTGTAATCGTTTGAAATCAGGGAGCTTGATGTCTCCAGCTATGGTCTTCTTTCTCAAGGCTGTTTCGGCTATTTGGGATACTTTGTGGTTCCATATGAATTTTAGGATTTTTTTCTGTACTTATATAAATTGCCATTGGAATTTTGATAAAGATTGCACTGAATCTATAGATCGCTTTAAGTACTATGGACATTTTAACAATATTACATCTTCCAAACCATGAACACAGAATATCTTTCCATTTATTTGTGTCTTCTTCAATTTCTTCCATCGATGTTTTATAGTTTTCAGTGCACAGATCTTTCACCTCTTTGGTTAAATTTATTCCTAAGTATTTCATTCTTTTTGATGCGAATGTAAATGGGATTATTTTCTTAATTTCTCTTTCTCATAGGTTCGGTTACTGTAAAAAAAAACCTGATTTTTGAATATCGATACTGCATCCTGCAACTTTACTGAATTCATTTATTAGTTCTAGGAGGTTTTTGGTGGATTCTTCAAGGTTCTATATGTAAGATCATGTTACCTCCAAATGGAGACAATTTAATTCTTCCTTAAGGACTTGGATGCCTTTTATTTCTTTTTCTTGCCTAATTGTTCTGGCTAGGATTTCAGTACTATGTTGAATAAAAGTGGCTAAAAGTAACTAGTCTTTTTCAATTGATCTTAGATGAAAAGCTTTCAGTCTTTCACTGACTATGATGTCAGCCGTGGGTTTGTCATATATGACCTTTATTATGTTGATGTATATTACTTCTATACCTAGTGTTTTTACCATGAAAGAACATTAAATTTCGTCAAACACTTTTTCTCCATCTATTGAGATGATCATATGATTTTTATCCTTCATTTTGTTAATGCGGTATATCACATATATTGGTTTGTACATATTGGGAATGTCAAGAGCAAGCAACGATAGAAATCATCTGTTAAATAATGATTCCATGCTGACCACTATATGTTCAATTCACAGTCCCATTTAATTCCTACAGTGAAATCTCTTTGAAAACATTTACTATTATCATTTTACAAACAAGAGATAGAGACTGGGGAAAGGCTAGGTAATCAATCCAAGATCTCACACCTAGTGAGTGATTGAGCTAGGATAAGTACCCAGATCTGTCTCATGTCCAAATTCTAACACTGCCTCCTTAAACGTGAAGATTCATTCTACTAGGTTGGATAAGAGGTCCTGTTTCTAAACTTAATCTGTGACAGAGGAGTGTTGGCCCCCCAAGGGAAAAAAAATCTACCAAGAAGGGCTCCTGGGGACTTATTGGACCAAATTTAAAAACAGAGCCTAGAAGCCATTAGCAGACTAAATCAGGGCCTCTTACATAAGCCACACTTCAGGTAGAAGCCTGCATTGAACTGCCTGTCTGGGTCTGAGCCCAACTCATACAAAAGTTCCTGGCATCCTATTTCAACCAACAGGACTGAGACTTTCCTGTCTAATTGGAGCTGCACAGCTATATTAGCACCTTCACTGACCAATCAAGGAGCCTCCATCCTAACCAATCAGGATAGTGCTTTTTGGACCAATCAAACTGAGTATTTGAAGTCCCCCTGTGCATGAGAATGAATCAATCAGGCACCAGGGGCAGGGACTTCTCTCTATGCAAGTCAGCTTCTCTCTAGCTCAAGGAATGCACTTGCTTTACCCACTGAAGGTTGTGTTTTCAGGCTGGAGGTATACCAGCTAAGCGGTTCTTGCTGGCTCAGAACAAAACAGAGGTCTCACCACCCTGGCGTGGAGCAGAGCAGAGCTGTCTCATGGGCCAAGCGGCAACACTGGGCTGCTTCACACCGGGGGTGCCTGTGCCACAGCCGTGCTGTATCACAACTGAGTTGTTTACGCCGAATAAAGTCTTCTTCACTGTACCCCAAATTGAGGATTCCTACTGGCACTGAATTAGCGCCAATAACTGTCTGTTGACAAGAGACACCCTAAACCAAGGTCCTCTTGAGTTCGGCCAGTCGGCTGGACGGAATTGAACTCCAAAGAGCAGAAGTAACGGGCCATTCCCACCGCGAGAAAGGGTGATGCCCTGTGCGCCAAAGCCCAGGATTGGGCCAGGGCGCCGCCCACCCTCCCAACCCCCAAGGCCAGTGCCTTCAGATCTGCTGTAACCTGTCTCTCTGGAACCAGCGGAATTGAGGTAAGTGCAAAGTCATGTCGGTTTGGTTGGATCCCAGTGATCAAACAGGGATCAAAACAAAGAAAAACAAAAAAAAAAAAACAAAAAACCACTTTAAATGCCCGGAGGGACCCCGTGGGTGATGAAGCTGGGCAAACCGCCCGCCGTATGCGGTCTGCCCCTAAGCGTGTTTCTTCAACGCAGGGGCTTTCTTTGTGCCTTCACACTCCCGCGTACAAAAGAACTACGCTCCATCCATTTTTCTTTAAACGAACAGCCTTCTCCTGGGCGCAAACAACAACAAAAGAAATTTTACCTTCACTTTACTTCATATGAGAAACACCTGCCAGAAAACCACCCAGGCGAGCGCGCCAGAAGGGGACGCCGGGCGGCCGCTTCTTCTTCCGGGTTGGCGGCGATCACTTCCGGAGCGACCGCTGGCCAGGCGGAAGTGCGGTGTGCGGTGTGCCGGCGGCGGCTGTCTCGCGACCCGCAGAAGGAGGCTCCCGAGGTGGGGCGGGGGGGCCGGGCCGGGATGGCGGCGGCGGCGGCGGCCGGGGCGG